GGTGGTCCAATGTCCTGAACTCAGCTCTCCCACCTCAGAGGCTCAGGCATGACACCAGGCCAGAGCACCACGACCCTGTCAGCTACACGGCTCAGAAGAAAAAGTGAAAAAAAGAATAATAAAAGAAAATTTTTTTAGGGGCTTCCCTGGTGGCGCAGTGGTTGAGAGTCTGCCTGCCGATGCAGGGGACACGGGTTTGTGCCCCGGTCTGGGAAGATCCCACATGCCACAGAGCAGCTGGGCCCGTGAGCCATGGCCACTGAGCCTGCGCATCCGGAGCCTGTGCTCCCTAATGGGAGAGGCCACAGCAGTGAGAGGCCCACGTAACGCAAAAAAAAAAAAAATAAAATAAAATAAAAATAATTTTTAATTATTAAAATGAAAAGGTAATAATGAAAAAATGAAGAGAGCAACCAAACCAATAAACAAATCCACTAATTATAATAAGTGGTAAAAACTATACTAAGATAAACATAAAAATCTGAAATCAGTTCCAGACAGCAGACCCCAAGTCAGTAACTCCCAAAGTCCACCGCCTCAACTTTGGGATGATTCATTTTCTATTCTGGTGTTCCACAGATGCAGGGTACATCGAGTTGATTGTGGAGTTTTAATCCGCTGCTCCTGAGGCTGCTGGGGGAAGTTTCCCTTTCTCTTAGTTCGCACAGCTCCTGGGGTTCAGCTTTGGGTTTGGCCCCACCTCTGCGTGTAGGTCGCCGGAGGGCGTCTGTTCCTGCCCAGACAGGGTGGGGTTAAAGCAGCAGCTCATTAGGGGGCTGTGGCTCACTCAGGCCGGTGGGGGGAGGGAGGGATACGGAATGTGGGGCAAGCCTGCGGTGGCACAGGCCAGTATGGCATTGCAACAGCCTGAGGCACGCCGTGTGTTCTCCCAGGGAAGTTGTCCCTGGATCTCGGGACCCTGGCAGTGGTGGGCTGCACAGGTTCCCGGGAGGGGAGGTGTGGATAGTGACCTGTGCTTGCACACAGGCTTCTTGGCAGCTGCAGTAGCAGCCTTAGCATCTCATGCCCGTCTCTAGTGTCTGAGCTGATAGCCATGGCTTGTGCCCATCTCTGGAGCTCATTTAGGTGGTACTCTGAATCCCCTCTCCTTGCGCACCCCAAAACAGTGGTCTCTTGCCTCTTAGGCAGGTCCAGTCAGCTCCCAGCCCCCACCCACCCCAGTGGGTGAGCAGACAAGCGTCTCAGGCTGGTGAGGCTGGTCGGCGCCGATCCTCTGTGCGGGAATCTCTCCGCTTTGCCCTCCGCCCCCTGTGGCTGCGCTCTCCTCCGCGGCTCTGAAGCTCCCCCCCGCCGCCCTCCCCTCATCTCCACCAGTGAAGGGGGCTTCCTAGGGTGTGGAAACTTTTCCTCCTTCACAGCTCCCTCCCAGAGGTGCAGGTCCCATCCCTATTCTTTTGTCTCTGTTTTTTCCTTTTTCTTTTGCCCTACCCAGCTACGTGGGGATTTTCTTGCCTTTTGGGAAGTCTGAGGTCTTCTGCCAGCATTCAGTAGGTGTTCTGTAGGAGTTGTTCCAGATGTAGATGTATTTTTGATATATTTGTGGGGAGGAAGGTGATTTTCACATCTTACTCCTGTGCCATCTTGAAGGTTCCCTCAAGAAATGTATATTAGTGACAACTGAGAGGAAAGTAAAGTTTCTGTTGCGATGTACCCAATGTTTAATAGGCATTTTTAAAATTCAGAACTGCTTTTATTGAATAAAACACTGCTATGCATAACTTACATAGCTATCCTTATAACTTATATTCACTGTTCCTAGTTATACTCCAAATAATGTCCTCCCTCTTCTAGGTGACTATACTTTATATAAACTTGAAGATTGCTGTCTTTTTCATGTGTAATATTTCTAGTTCCTCTAGCCATTCTTCCAGTGATACAATCTCCAGGTCTCTCACCATACTTTGCCCTTCTGTCCAGTCTTAGAATACTGTACCTAGAATTGAACTCAGTATTACACGTGTGTTCTAAATAGCACAGAGTATAATGGCAATAGTACTTAAAGAGATCAAGACACCCTGTTTCTTGATGTAATTTAAGGTTACATAAGCATTTTAAGCAATTACATCATAACACTTCATAACGAACTTATGGTCCACTAGCACACTAGATCTTTTTGTATTGTTGCTAAACTCAGTTTTCTTCTTGAAGCTGCTAAAGGACTGAGGCTCTACCTTTTCATCTCTTTGTCTCAGGGACCATATGATTTCTCATCTCTGTTTCTCTTTGTGTTTTTTTCCCACTCCACTGTATGTCTCTTTGACCCTTACCAATGACCTCCTTCCTTATAAAATTTCAGTGACTGTTTTATAGTCTTAATACTGTGTATCAGTGAACAGAGCTGGGAGGTGACACTTGTTCCTTTTTCAAGGTTTCTTTTCATTTGGCTTCTAGGCCACCATATTCTTCTGGCTTTCCTTTCACTTTCCTGGTTGGTCCTCCTCCATCTTCTCTGTGGGTCTCTATTCATCTCCCTTTCCCTCAACTATTTGGTATGCCTTGTGTTTTGTCTTTGGTTTTTCCCTCAACTTTGGTTGTGCCTTTGGTTTTTTCTGTATGCAATGTATCTTCAGCAAATAAAGCATGTTTAAAATGGCAGGTCTAGATGAGCTCATCTAGGATAAGAGAGTGCAGAACCAGTACCCGTGGAAAGTCAACATTTAGGTCAGCCAGAGGAGAAGGATTCAGCAAGAAGACAGAAGAAACAGCCAGACATTTAGGAGTGTTCCCAGAAGGAGGGTTATTCAGCTGTGTTGACTGTTTCTGAGAGGTCAAGTAAGGTGAGAATAGAGAAATGACCAGAGAAGTTTGCATTGTAGAGGCTGTTGGTGATCTTGACAAGCATGGTTTTGTGGAGTGTTGAGGGGAAAAGCCAGATTATAGAAGAGAAGAATTAAAAGAAGATAGAGAAGCAGAGATAGTGTGTAGATGATAATTTTAAGAAATGGAGCAGTACCTGGAGCATGTTACATGGTCAGTTGAGGCTTTTAGGTTCAAGGGATATAATGTATGAGAAAGTCATTTGGAAATTATAACATGCTACTACATATGTGTTTGGAGAAATCCAGAAAGAAGATGGCTGAGGACACAACCCTGTGAAGCACCTTCATTTAGAGAGTGCAATGAAGAGACTCCAAGAGGAGTTCAGCTCAAGAGACACATGAGCAGTTCTGTTCTGTCCTTCATACCAAAGACATTCCAAGAGGGAGTCAGTGGATTCCCTGACCTCAAGCATTTTATATTTGCTGTGTTTCACAAAACGTGGTCATGTGAATCACCTGCATCCAGACAGGCTTGGCTCTTAAGTATATATTCCAGGGCCCCACCTCAGGCCTACTGAATCAGAATTTCAGGGAATTATACCAAGGATTTGAATTTTTAATAAGTGATTCTCACTTTGCCACCCAAGATGACTCTGGCTTATTGGATGAAACTGAACATGTTAACAAATAACATTAGGTTGAAGAGTTAGTTGAAGAATAGGAAGATATTTGTTCATCTCTTTTATAAGTTCATGCCATTAAATAAGAGAAACCAGGCTATTCTGTGGGGAAAAAATAGTACAAATTCATAAACACGAGGAAAATACAGGCATACCTCTTCTTATTGCACTTTGCTTTATTGTGCTTCACGGATATTGCTGGGGTTTTTTGTTGTTGTTTTTGTTTTTTTAACAAATCAAAGGTTTGTAGCAACCCTGCATTGAACAAGTCTGTCAGTGCCATTTTTCCAACAGTATTTTGCGTACTTCATGTCTCTATGTCACATTTTAATAATTCTTGCAATATTTCAAACTTTTTCAGTATGTTTATTATGGTGATCTGTGATCTCTGGTGTTACTGCTGTGACTCCCTGAAGGCTCAGATGACAGTTAGCATTTTTTAGCAATTAAGTTTTTTAAAATTAAGACATGTACATTGTGTTTTTTAGATATAATGCTATTGCACACTTAATAGACTACAGCATAGTGTAAACATAACTTTTATATGCACTGGGAAACCAAAAAATTCATGTTACTTGTTTTACTGTGATATTTGCTTTATTGCGGTGGTCTGGAACTGAACTTGCAATACCTCCGAGGTATTACTGTAATCTTAAACTCATTCTGTATTGTTTTAGAAATATTTTGTTTATAAAGGATCTTACCATAATTTATAGAACCATTCCTCTTTTGCAGAAGATTCGGGTTATTTTCAGTTTATTTCTGTGATGGATAATGCCTTCATAGAACAGGCAGAATATAGTATAGGGATAAAATTGTGGGTTCTAGAACCATACTGCCTGGGTTTAAATCCCATCTTTTACCACTTACTAGCTCTGTAATTCTGGACAAATTATTTAAGTCATTTATACTTCATTTTCCTCATTTTAATGTAAGTATCATGATAGTGTATTAATTTCATTGATGTAAGGATTAAATTCAGTGTTTAAAATGGCGCCTGGCGCATAGTGAGTGCTTAATAAATATGGGCTATTATTATTGTTAATAGGTATATTCGTGATTATAGAATCTAACTGCTGTTGAACTATTTCCCTAGGATAAATTTTCAGGATGGGATTACTTTATTAAAGGATGAAGACATTTTTATGTCCCTTTGCCGTCTATGGTCATTGCTTTTCAGAGGATGATAACAGTTTGTGCTGTGTAATTTGTAAATGCAACCTATGTATCAGTGTAATGTATGTGTGTGTATGCATGTATCACATATACATTACATTGTATATATACACACACATAAAAATTTATTATGTGTATGCATTTGGTTTTTCTCTAAATATGAATGCATATCAGTGTGGTTTAGATTATAAGTTTGTAGAAGACTGTGACTTTAAGTCTGTTGTTAAGTCTGTTCTGTTTAATGTTACAGTGCCTTGGTCAATACTGTCTCCAGATGGATGTTGGTAATGATAGTAAGTTACTTTTGAAAGATTATGTCAAAGAAATATTCTAAGTCTTATGTGTCTTTTTTCCCTTTTGATAGATCGAAGCCATGGCCATTCTTTTCGCTGTTGTTGCCAGGGGAACCACTATCCTTGCCAAACATGCTTGGTGTGGAGGCAACTTCCTGGAGGTGACAGAGCAGATTCTGGCTAAGATACCTTCTGAAAATAACAAGCTAACGTACTCACACGGCAAGTGAGTTCTGCTGTGTGTGGGTAGCGGGTGAAAGAAGTGAATTATTATAATCAGAACAGTGGAAAACTAGAAAAGCAAGCTTCTCAGTAGATAATTTGAATAAGCTGACAGAACAATAATCTTTACCAGCTTAGAAAATGTTTGGTTCTATTAATTTTAAATTTAGCTAAAAATTATTTTATTCTGTCATCAAAGTGATATTAATATTTTAAAGAAAGATATGGAAATGTTAGATGTAAAAGTGACTTTGCTATAGAGCTCTAGTACATGTGAAACTTGATGTAGTTAAGATAAAGAATATTTTTTTCTTTCATTCTTTCTGTGAATATCTACTGAGCACTTGATTATCGCCAGACGCTTTGCTTGGTGCTGGGGATACAAGAAATCACTCAGTATTTGCCCTCATGGAGGTTATAGTTTAATGAAGGAGACAGTCAGATCCATAGGTAATCACAGTAGAGGGTAGAAGCTAGTGGACAGGGGGATGGTATTCCAGGTAGAAGGAACAGCTGGTAGAGAAGTATGGAGGCATATTTAGTGAACTGCAGGTGTTTGTGACTGGTGCCCAACATGGTGAAAATAAAGCTAGAGAGACCGACAGAAGAGAAGTCCTGTAGGGCCTCATAGGCCATGTTAAGGGGTTGTACTTTACTGTATGGGCAATAGGAAGGCATTGAAAGTTTTCAGCTGGGGTGTGACTTGGTAAGCTTTTGCTTTAGAAAGATCACTGTCGTGGCTGGTTGGAGAATGAATTGGAGGGGGCATAGTTGGGAAATCTTAGTAATCATAAAAAGTGCCTCAACCTTCCTCCTCAGTACTTAACAATCTTTTGTTACCTAACTCATCCTAATTTCCTTAGACCCTATCTCAGAAGGAGGTCCTTATTGGTTTCCAGGGCCAACTCCTTGTATAATTTAGGATCTAGTCTAAACTGCTGTAAGAGAGAGAAGCCAAAATACAGTATTAATTTATGAGATAGCCCAGAGATGAGTACTTCGGGACTGATGGGGTGGCTCTGCCATTTTTAATTAGTGCCTTCCAACTCTGGCCAAGGCAGCTTCTTCAGTTCTTGTTACTTCCCTGTGCTTGCCCAGTAATTTTTTTTTTTTTTTTTTGACGATACGCGGGCCTCTCACTATTGTGGCCTCTCCCGTTGCGGAGCACAGGCTCCGGACGCGCAGGCTCAGCAGCCATGGCTCACGGGCCCAGCCGCTCCACGGCATGTGGGATCTTCCCGGACCGGGGCACGAACCCGTGTCTCCTGCATCGGCAGGCGGACTCTCAACCACTGCGCCACCAGGGAAGCCCAATTGCCCAGTACTTTTAAAGGCAAAGCCCAGAAGTGGCCTGACAGTTGATTGTTCACTGCATAGTTATGTAGCTAACCTAGCTGGAGTGGAGACTAGAATTTGTCATCTCTAGCTGTGCAGCCATATGCTCAGCTAAAACTCTGTTACTCTGGAGGAAGTTATAGGACATCAGGAGACAACTTGCAATCTTCCAGTCTACTCTTCTGGGCCACCAAAATATTAGGATGTACTCTTCTTCCCAAACATAGAGCATACCTCCTCTCTGCAGGAGGTGGCCCCAAAGACTCATCTGATCGCTGTGTCCAGCTCCAGGTCCAGACAGTCCGAGTGATACACAGTCCTCTCCATCACACCCAGGAGTGGCTCCTGTGGCCCATTAACAACAAACTAAAAGACAAGTCATATGATCTCCCTGTTTCATCAGACCAACCCAATAGACATTGGTGGAATAAGAACAGCATCACCAAGTGGAAGTTGTAAACCTTGATTTAGAAAAGGGAAGAACAAGAAACACATAGATATCACTGTTTCTTAGCAATATTCAAATAACTACTCCACAGCAATTTCAGAGACTCTTATTCTGACCTGGGAGTGGTTAGTGGTTCTGCTTTCTTGGAAGAAATTCTTCATCTTTTCTCCCTTTCTTCTCCAGGAGGCTCTTCCTGGTCCATTATCCTCTCTGGCCACATCCAGAATGGGTGTTAAGTGTGTCATCTTTGGGAACTGTATAGGTTTTGTAATCTGTTACTTCCTGGTGTAGTTTAGGGGCTAAGAAGTTACCTCTGGGTTAAATGACCTCAGTTTCTTGTGAGTATGGCTTTAGGGTTTCTTCAAAAATTTATTGGGCTCAACGATCGTGTTTCTAGTCAGTTCCCAGGAATGTGCTCAGGGAAAGCACATGTCATCTTTGTAGAGGCAAGGCTGGGAAGTAGGGCATGTTTCTTCCACTCATATTTTATCAGGCAGAACTTAATCACTAGCCATATCTATAGCTACAAGAGAAGCTAGACTATGTAATCCAATGAAAATGTGGTTATAGTGCAAGAAAGTGATGTTATCCATCTGCTGTGTCTTTCCACCTGCATCCTGACCCAGTCCTACCCGGTATCCTTTGGAGTAAGTCTCTATCACTGAGTTGTCTTTTCTTTTTAACCTTCTGCCTTAGTTTCTTTCTTATAATCATGTTCCATCATCCCGATCAGCTTGGGAATAAAATATCTTTTATTACTGTACACCAACAGAAAGAAGTACATTTTACTGTATGAAAATCATTTCTCCCTGAAATCTGACCTTCCTTTTGCTGTTTCTTTCTTTCTTTAATAGCATCACCAGTCATTCAGTTGGCTAAGCCTAAAACTTCAGAATCATATTTGACTCCTTAACCAAATCCTTGCCATTCTCCTACAGGAGGTATTTCAATCTCCTCTATCCTCACTTTTCATAGTGTTTGTTCAGGCATTCATTGTTTCTCATTTCTAATAACCTCCTCCTAGCTGGTTTTTCTGCTTCTAGTTGATCCCTCCTTAAATCTGTATTTCACATTCCTATGATTATACTTTCTTGCTTAAAACCCATTGCTTTTAGAATAAAGCCCAAACTCAGCCTTCACAATGTTGTCTATTCCTGACTTTTCTATCCTTATCTCTATAGAAATCTTTGTCATTACCTGACCTATGTTATTTCAAGCTTTGTTATACTTTTTTCATGATTTTGTGTCTTGGAATGTCCTTTCCTTCCTAGGCCCCTGGTAAATTTTTGCTCATTTTACAGGTTCCAAATGAAACACTTTCTTAATTGTCACTTTAATCCTTCTGATTAAAGGGCAGTTCTGATCATGTCCCTTCCTTCAGCAGGTACTCAGGGTAAAGTTCCTTAACACTACTTGAAAGATTCTTCAAGATCTGCCCCTGCTCCCTTCTCTGGCCTTATCTCTCATTGCTTGAGCCCTCAGTTTTGTTCTCCAGCCATACTCAGCTATGTGCATTTCAGTGTTGGGTTCTTTCTCTCTTCTTAGCCTTTGCAATAGCTATTACTTTTTAAAAATCTGAGTTTGTCTTCCTGAGCTTATATGTTTCCTCTTCTGGAAACCCCTGAATTCCAAGACTGGGCCAGGTGCCCCCTTTTTGTGTGTCTCCATAGCATCCTGTGTTTATTCATATTGTAGCACTTATGAAGCAGTGTTATAATTGCTGTCTTTATTTTTTGTCTCTGTTCTCTGACTATAGGCTCCTTGATGGCAAGGACCATATCTCATTACCTTCTGTGGTCTTTGCACCAATGTACTCCCAAGTGTGGTTTAGGAGAAACAAATTTTGTGGGGAAAATGATGACTTTCATTTTTGCACCTGTAGTGTTTAAGTTGTCTATGGTACTCCTGTTGGATATGTCTAGTAGACAGTAGCGTATGCAGGCCTGGAGCTTGGGAGATAGGTCAGATTTAGATTTGGGAATCATTATGATTGTAGTAGCTGAAAACGGATATCGACAGCAAAACAAGAGAGTGGATGCCACCCTCCAGGGAATGTGTGTGAGAAAAGCAGGGGCCTCCGGATGCTGCAAGACATCAACAGAGAGCGAAATAGACTACCATATAAACCAGGCAAGCCTGGTGTCAAGAAATCTAGTGGAGAGAAAAACACTTTCTAGAGGAAGGAAGTGATCAGCACTATCAAATGTGTCAGAGAGAGCCACTGGATATGCAGTGTGGAAATCATTGGTGGAGTTGATGTGAACAATTTCAGTGGTGGAGGAAGACATTTTGCTTGAGTTTCCATACCTCCTTGTAATTCATGTCAAGCCTCTATGTGAACATTAATAATACAATTCAACAAGTATTCTTGTCTATCTACTTGCCCAGGGTAGAAATCTGGGAAGGAAAATAGACTTATCCCTCTGCCTCACCCCCAGTAGCCAGTCATCAAGTTCTATGATTTCTTCTCAGTCCCTTCTTCTTCACTGCCCATAGTACTTTAGTTTCTCTCACTGTTCTACTTCAGTAGTCTTCTGTCTGGTCCTCCTTTCGGTCAGTTCTCCACACTTTAGCCTAAGCATCCTTTTATATGGCAAATCTGATCACACTCCCAGGCTAAAACCCTTTGATGCTTGTTCATTATTCTTAGGATAATGCATAGTGAGGTTTGAAAGTCTTATACAGCATGATATTTGCTTACTTACAACCTCATTTGTGGAAGCAGTTTATTTTTTCCTTACATTCTATACTCTAGTCCAGGGGTCCTCAAGCCCCAGGCTGCGGACCGGTGGTGGTCCAAGGCCTGTTAGGAACCGGGCCACACAGCAGGAGGTGAGTGGTGTGTGACCAAGCTAAACATCATCTGTTGCTCCCCATCACTCCCATCACTCGCATTACTGCTTGAACCATTGCTCGCTCACATTCATTACCACCTGAACCATCCTCCCAATCGCTTGCATGACCGCCTGAACCATCACCCCTTCCCCGCCCATGGAAAAATTGTCTTCCATGAAACTGGTTCCTGGTGCCAAAAAGGTTGGGGACAACTGCTCTAGTCATATTAACTAATTTTACTTTTAAACCCAGTACTTGCTCTTTTATCTCAAAGCCCTTAAGCTTGTTGGTCTCTCACTCTGGAACACTCTTGCTTGATCTTGTTGCCGTCTCTTACTTAGTCTTCAGGTCTCAGCTCAGACATCACTTGCTCCAGGATGTCTTCCTGTTACCCTTTGACAAACTCTGTTAGGTGTCACCTCTATGTCCCCACAGCACCATGTACTTCCCTTAACTCCTTATCATCCTGCTTACTGTGTTGTTCCACAATTGCCTGCACTTTCATCTCTGTAAAGGCAGGGACTGATGGTTTTGCTTATTTGTATCCTCAGCACCTAGCCCAGTAACTAGTTCAAAGTAGATGCCAAATAAATGTTACTGTTGAGTATTCAGTAGAAAAAGTGTTTGCTATGAAATCTTAGGATAAGGCAAAGAAGACTGTATGGCCCATTTGGGGGTTATTCTTAATTACGTGTCCCTCAGATGTCATCTCTTGTTAAACCTTAAGTATCTGGGAATTCCCTGGCGGTCCAGTGGTTAGCACTTGGTGCTTTCACTGCCAGGGCCCAGGTTCAATTCCTGGTTGGGGAACTAAGATCCTGCAAGGCACGTGGCACAGCCAAAAAAAAAGTCCAATTATGCTTTTGCAGATATTATTTTAATGGGTAATGTGCATAACATTGCACTATGTAACTTGTTTTAATTTCTTATTTATTTCTATCAGTTTGACTTCAGAGGAACATGTATATAGGGGAGAGGGAGAATAGACAGTATCTGTAAATAATATGGTCACGTTGGCAGTACTAAAATTTCTTATACATAGATAGAAGTGAAAGAGATATTACTCATAACCACAGTAAGTTTTATATCTTTTATTCTACAGTTATTTGTTTCATTACATCTGCCAAGACAGGATTGTATATCTTTGTATCACTGATGATGTAAGTAACTTGAAGACATGTTGCTATTTAAGTATGTAATGTTAATAGAGCTGGTTCTTAATTATCTGTATCTGTGGTGGGTTAAGGTGATGTGAATATAATGTCTGTAGCTGGAAATATTTTTCTATACTTTGTATTTATCATATAGAGCAGCAAAACAAAAGAAAAGTTGATATCTGGGTATATGCAAATCAGCTTGGTTTTGTAGAGTTTTAGCTTAACCTCTTGTAATTTCTACATTTATTCTATTGTGTAGTGAGAATTGGTGTTCATAATTATGATTCTTTGGTATCAGACCCTCTCAAAATTTATTTATCTGAAATAGTCAATAGATTATTTCACTCCTCCAGTCAATAGTGAATTTCTTTTAATGTATGTGGACTTTGGGAAAACAAAATCACAATACATTATGATCAGCTTTGTAAACCTGTAGTTCACATTGGTAGGTTGTTTTTGAGTATTTGTAGCTTCTAGATGGAAAATGCTCAATAACTTAACGGTGGTCATCAAGGTCCTTTCTCCTCTCTGCAATCCTAGTGTTAGCTTCTTCCTGGACACATTCCCCTTATGGTTGCATGGAGCCACATGCTTATTTATTTGTGTCCAAAAAAGACGGACTGTGTCTTCTCAAGTCTCTTACTGTATGAATGAGGAAACTTCCCAGATGCACACCCTCCCCTCCCCGAGCTTTCAAAGTGGACTTCTTTTCATGACTTACTGGCTAGGACTAGGTTACATATTTATTTCTAAATTGATCACTGACAAGAGGCATGGAATTGGCATGATTGCCATAGGTCAGGGTTCTTACGTTTATTGTGTCACAGACCCCTTTGGCACTCGTGGGCCCCTCCCAGAATTTTTTTAAATGTGTGATTATAAACAAAACCAATTATCTTGAAATACACTATTCAAAATATTTTAAATATTGATATAGTAATGTATATGCTTCTTTATGAATTCATTAAATAACAAGTTCTACTCATGGGTCTAATAAATAAAAATTATTTTGATGTGGTGATGAGTATAAATAATATTTTGAGAGATGTTTATAACTGATGGTATATGAAAAAAAGACTTCTCTTGATGACAGAGTCACAGGTACTGTTAAATGCTTCGGTTTGTTACCACATTCACAATTGAAATTTGAGTTAAAGATTGGTGAAAATAATGATGAGACTTTTTTTTTCTATCCAAGTACATCAGCTCCTTGTATTTGGACCATTGACCCCACTTTAAGAACTCTTGGCTTAGACTAATCATCTTAGGTGAAATGGAGATGAGTGTCAACCACAGTGATCATCAAAATGATTTATATTCCCTGATTTCACAGTATTTTCTAAAATTATTTAAAAAATACAGCTATATCTGAAATGACTGATGTGAAAGTGCTTGGAGTAAGTGAGAAATATCACTAAATTTGGGATGGTCAGAGTTGAGTCTTATATTTCTTGAGCTATAATTATATTTTTGTATATATGTTACACACACACACACACACACACACACACACACACACACACTTTTTGACTGGGACTAGATAAGAGTACATCCCTTGATCTTTTCAAATGTACCACCACTATTGAAAAAAATCAATTCAGACTTTATGTCAGTAGTGTTATCTTTGTATGTGAAAGACTGTACTATTATGGATTTCTTAAGCATCTTCTTGTGCTGAGCTTTTTAATAGATCCTGTGAAAGATATAGATGGAGTAAAACCCAATTCCTGCTCTCAAGAAGCTAACCTAGGTACTGTTATCTTAGTTGGCAGTAATCAAACATATTTGGATTCGACTCTCAGCTCTTTCATTTACTAGTTGTTTCACCTTTGGCAAGTTAGTTACCTTTTCAGAGCTTTTGTTTCTTTATCAGTAAAATGAGGTCAGTTCCTCCTCATAGAATCATTGTTAGTAAATGTTAGCTGTTCTTCTGGTTGTTGTTAATCATCCCTATCATCTTTGTTTACTGTAATGTAAATTGTGTTGATCTCCTTTCAGGATTTTGAGCGTTCCCGAGCCTTTAATTTTCTGAATGAGATAAAAAAGAGGTTCCAGACTACGTATGGTTCAAGAGCACAAACAGCGCTCCCATATGCCATGAATAGTGAGTTCTCAAGTGTCTTGGCTGCACAGCTGGTAAGATCTTTCTCAGGATATAGTATTTGATTCATATCTTCTTTATTACCTTAAAGCACCATGAATATGAGGGACTCTGACCTGCAGTGTATTTTTCTGATTGTGTTATTATATGCCAAGATAGTAAAACTTCCCTGATTAGAAAAATATATACAGGGGCCATTTTAGGATGGAAAGTGAATAATTGGTGATATTATCTATAAATGGTGCTCAGAGTATCTCAGGGTTGGGAAAGAGATTAAAGATCATCTACTTCAACTACCCATTTAATGTGTAAGTCCACTCAACATGCCAAATGGCCTCTTAACCTATACATTAACCTCTACCCTCCCACAAGGCAAATTTAATTTTTGAACAGCTCAGTCAGTCATCTGAAAGTCTGTTCATCTGTATGAATACTTAATTATCAGCTCAGTAAAGTTGTACATATGTATACACCCGTGAAATACCACCCTTTTCAAGATACAAAACATCTCCATGACCCTAAAGGATTCCTCATATCCCTTTGCAGTCAGTTCCCTCCCCATCACTCTGCCTGAGGCAACCACTGCTCTATTTTCTGTCACCATAAATTAGTTTTATCTTTTCTAGAATTTCCTATAAATGGAATCACACGTTATATACTCTTTTTTGTCTTCCTTGTTTTGTCAGTGTAAGCTTTTTGATATTCATCCATGTTGTATAAATCAGTAGTTTCCTTTTTTGCTGAGTAGTATTGTATGCATATGCCACAATTTGTTTCTCCATTCACCTGTTGCTGGATATTTGAGTTACTTCCAGTTTTCAGCTATCACAAACAAAGCTGTTATGAACATCCATATACAAATCTTTGTGCAGACATGTTTTTATTTCTCCTTGGTAAATACCTAGGAATGGAATTGCTGCGTCATATGGTGAATGATGTTTAATTTTATAATGAATTGTCAAACGTTTTTCCAAAGTGGTTGTACCATTTATATTCCCACAAGCACTTGCAGTATTTCTGCATACTTGCCAACACTTGTTATGGTCTGTCTTTTTAATGTAATTCGTCCTTGTGGGTGTGTAATGGTATCTCATTGTGGTCTTAATTTGCATTTCCCTGATGACTAAGGATGTGGAGACCTTAAAAAAATGCTTAGTTACCTTTTATCCATGAAACTTTTTGAGTGCAAAGACATGTTTTATCTGTGATGGTGTTGTGAATGAGAAAAAGAAACTTACTGTAATTGAATATGTTCCTTTTCAGTTCTCCTTTTTAATACCCTTTTTGAGGATTACACTTCTAAATATGCATCCTGTAGGGATGAAGTTCCTTTAAATAGTCATAAATCTTTATTATTCAATCAGTTGGTTTGTTTCATACTTCCACTAGGAAACATTCATATATGTGAAGCTATGTAAAACATCACCAGCAAAATATATACCAGTGCCCATTTGAAAGTAAATAGGGTCATGTTGGTGGCCAAGATGGTGGAATAGGAAGACCCTGAGCTCACCTCCTTCCATGGGCACTCCAAAATTACAACTATTACAACTATTTACAGAGCAACTATTGATGAGAAAGAACAGAAGACTAGTAGAAAAGATCTTATACAACTGAAGATATAAAGAAGGAACCACAGTAAGACAGAGGGGCAGAGACACAGTATAATCAAGATCCATACCTCTGGGTGGGTGACTCACAAATGGATAATTACAATTGCAGAGGTTCTCCCCAAGGGCGAGGTGTCCAAGCCCCACATGAGGCTCCCCAGCCCTGGGGTCCTCCATTGGGAAGATGAGCCCCCAGGACATTTGGCTTCGAAGGCCAGCGGGACTTAATTTCAGGAGTGCCAGAGGGCTGTGGGAAATAGACTCCACTCTTAAAGGGCATGTATAAAATCTCACATGCTCTGGAAACCAGGGCAGAAGCAGTAATTTGAAAGGAGCCTGGATCAGATCCACCTGCTGATCTTGGAGAGTCTCCTGGAGAGGCAGGAGGCACCTGGAGCTCACTCTGGGGACATAGACACTGGTGGCAGCCTTTTTTGGGAGCTTGTTCCACCATCCTTTACTAATGGAGCTCGCAAGCACCATTTTAGAATCTTCCCTCTAGTGTATTAATGCCAGGACCTGGCCTTGCCCACCAGCCTATCTGCATCAGTACTGGGACACCTCAAGCCAAGCAACTAGCCAGGCAGGGACACACCTTCACCCACCAGCAGGCTGGTTGCCTTAAGAACCCCTGAGCCTACAGCTACTCCAGGACCTGGCTCTGCCCAACAAAGGGCCCAAGACCTGGCCCTGAATAGCAGTGTGCCTGCACTAGCCCTAGGACCCGCTGGGCACTGGCCCTGCCTACCAGCAGACCAACACCAATTTCAGGACACCCCACACTCCACAGCCAGCCATCTCAGAAACTAGCTCTGCCCATCAGCAGGCCAACACCAGCTCTGGGATCCCCAGGGCCCTGCAGCCAGAGACCCCAGGATCCCCTGGACCTCTACAGCCAGCTGCCTTATGACCTGGCCCTGCCCACCAGCAGCTGACAGCCTCCACACAAGGCAGGATCTGGCAACCAACCAGACTGGGGACCAGCCATTCCTACCAGATTATCCACAGTAGTCAGCCAGCCACAACAGAAGGACCCACACAGCCCATGTAGGAGGTATCCTTATAGCATACAGCTCTGGTGACCAGAGGGAAGTGCACTGCTGGGACTCGCAGGACATCTCCTAGAAAAGGCCAGCTTCTTCAAGGTCGGAAAATGTAATCAACTTACAAAATACATAGAAATAAAAAAAGGAAATTAGGAAAAATGAAGGCACAGAGGAACATGTTCCAAATGAAGAAACAAGATAAAATCCCAGAAGAAGAGCTAACTGAAGTGGAGATAAGCAATCTACCGAATAAAGAGTTCAAGATAGTGATTGTAAAGATGATCAAAGAACCCAGGAGATGATTGGATTAACAGAGTGAGAAGTTAGAATTTTTTAACAAAGAGAAAGTGTAAACAATGACCAAACAAAGATGAATACAATAACTGAAGTAAATACACTAGAAGGAATCAACAGTGGATTAGATGGTACAGAGGAATGGATCAGTGAGCAGGAAGACAGAGTAGTTGAAATCACTGAGGTGGAACAGGAAAAAGAATAAAAAGAAATGAGGACTGTTTAATAAACCGCTAAAACAACTTCAAATGTACTAACATTTGCATAATAGGGGTCCCAGAAGGAGAAGAGAGAGAAAAAGGGGCAGAGAACATATTTGAAAACATAATAGCTGAAAACTTCCTTAACCTGGGAAAAGAAACAGATATCTAGGTCCAGGAAGCACAGAGAGTCCCAAACAGGATCAATCCAAAGAGGACCACACCAAGACATTGTAATTAAAATGGCAAAAATTAAAGAAAGAATATTAAAAGCAGCTAGGGAAAAGCAAAGTGTCACATACAAGGGAATTCCCATAAGGCTATCAACTGACTTTGCAGCAGAAACCCTGCAGGCCAGAAGGAAGTGGCACGATATATTTAAAGTGATAAAAGGGAAAAACCTACAACCAAGAATGCTCAGCAAGGCTTTCATTCAGTTTTGGTGGAGAAATCAAAAGCTTTACAGATAAGCAAAAGCTAAGAGTTCAGCACCATCAAACCAGCTTTACAGGAAATGTTAAAGGGGCTTCTCCAAGCAAAAAAGAAAAGGCCGCAAGAAGAAATATGAAAATTATGAAGGAAAAATCTCATTGGTAAAGGCAAATATACAGTAAAGGTAGTAAACCAACCACATACAAAGCTAGGAGGAAGATTACAAGGAAAAGGAGTAAAATCACCTATAACCACAATAAAGGATACACAAAACAAAAAAGATGTAAAATATGTCAAAACAGTAAATGTGGTGGGAGGGGGCATAAAAATGCAGGGTTGTTAAAATGCACTTGAACTTAAGAGATGAGCAACTTATAATAATCGCGTATGTATATATAGATTGCTACATATAAACGTTATGGTAACCACAAACCAGAAATCTATACTAGATACACACACAAAAAAGGGAAAGGAATCCGAACATAACACTAAGATACTCATCAAATCACAAGGGAAGAGAGCAAAAGAAGAACAAAAAAGAAGTATAAAAACAACTGAAAAGCAGTTAACAGAATGACAGTACATACCTGTCAGTAATTAAATGTAAATGGATTAAATGCTCCAATCAAAAGACATAGAGTGGCTGAATGGATACAAAAACAAGACCCATATATATACTGCCTACAGGAGACTCAGTTCAGATCTGAAGACGAAAACAGAAAGTGAAGGGATAGAAAAAGGTATACCATACAAATGGAAATGAAAGGGAAGCTGGGATAGCAATATTTATATCAGAGAAAATAGGCTTTAAAACAGTCCGTAACAAGAGACAGAGAAGGACTACTTAATGATAAAGGAAGCAATCCAAGAAGATATAACAATTGTAAATATATATGCACCCAACATAGGAGCACCTAAATACACAAAGCAAATATTAATAGACATAAAGTGAGAAATTGACAGCAACACAATAATAGTAGGAGGCTTTTTTAAAATATTTATTTATTTATTTACTTTTGGCTGCATTGGGTCTTCGTTGGGTTGCGTGTGCTTCTCATTGCAGTGGCTTCTCTTGTTGTGGAGTACGGGCTCTAGGCTTGAGGGCTTTAGTAGTTGTGGCTCTCGGGCTCTAGAGCACAGGCTCAGTTGTAGCACACAGGCTTAGTTGCTCCCCGGCATGTGGGATCTTCCCGGACCAGGGCTCGAACCCATGTCCCCCGTATTGGCAGGTAGATTCTTAACCACTGTGCCATCTGGGAAGCCCAGTAGGAGACTTTAACACCACACTTACCTCGATGGACAGATCATCCAGATAGAAAATCAATGAGGAAACACTGGCCTTAAACAACACATTAGACCTAAATGGGCTTAATTGACATATATACAACATTCCATCCAAAATCAGCAGAATACACATTCTTTTCAAGTGCACATGGCACAGTCTCCAAGATAGATCACATGCTAGGCCACAAAACAAGCCTCAGCAAATTTAAGGAAATTGAAATCATATCAAGCATTTTTTCTGACCACAATGCTATGAGGCTAGAAATCAACTATAAGAAAAAAAAACTGCAAAAGACACAAACACATGGAGGCTAAACAGTATGCTACTAAACAACCAATGGATCACTGAAGAAATCAAAGAGGAAATTAAAAAAATACCTGGAGACAAATGAAAATGAAAACAGTGATTCAATATCTGTAGGATCCAGCAAAAGCAGTTCTAAGAGGGGCATTTATAGCAATGCAAGCTTACCTCAGGAAACAAGAAAAATCTCAACCTAACATTACACCTAAAGGAGCCAGAAGAAGAACAAGCAAAACCCAAAGTTAGTAGAAGGAAAGAAATCATAAAGATCAGAGCAGAAATAAATGAAACTGAGACTAAGAAAACAATAGAAAGGATCAATGAAACTAAGAGCTAGTTCTTTGATAAGATAAACAAAACTGATAAACCTTTAGCCAGACTCATCAAGAAAAAAAAGAGGTCTCAAATCAATAAAATCAGAAATGAAAAAGAAGTTACAACAGATACCACTGACATACAAAGGATCATAATAGACTGCTATGAACAATTATATGCCAATAAAATGGACAACCTAGGAGAAATGGCCAAATTCCTAGAAATGTACAATCTCACAAGACTGAACCAGGAAGAAATAGAAAACATGAACAGAACAACTACCAATAATGAAATTGAGTCAGTAATTTTAAAACTTCCAACAAACAAAAGTCTATGACCAGATGGCTTCACAGGTGAATTCTACCAAACATTTAAAGAAGAGTTAACACCTGTCCTTCATAAACTATTCCAAAAAATTGCAGAGCAAGGAACACTTCCAAACTCATTCTACAGGTCAGCATCACCCTGACACCAAAACCAGACAAAGATACCACAAATAAAATTACAGGCCAGTATCACTAATGAACATAGATTCAGAAATCCTCGACAAAATATTAACAAACTGAATTCAACAATACATGAAAAGGATCATACACCATGATCAGGTGGGATTTATTCCAGAGATGCAAGGATGGTTCAGTATCTGGAAATCAATGTGATATACCACGGTAACAAATTAAAGAATAAAAACCATATGATCATCTAAATAGATGAAGAAAAAGCTTGACAGAATTCAACATCCATTTATGATAAAACCTCTGAACAAAGGGGGAACATACCCCCAAATAATAAAGGCTGTATATGACAAGCCCACAGTTAACATCATACTCAGTGGTGAAAAGCTAAAACCCTCTAAGATCAGGAACAAGACAAGGGTGCCCACTCTTGCCACTTTTATTCAACATAGTATTGGAAGTCCTAACCACAGTAATCAGACATGAAAAAGAAAGAAAAGGAATCCAAATTCGAAAGTAAAAGTGTCACTCTTTGTAGATGATGTGATACTATATATAGAAAATCCTAAAGATACTGCCAAAAAAACTGTTAGAAATAGTAAATTCAGTAAAATTGCAGGATACAAAATTAATATGTAGAAATCTGTTGCATTTTTATATACTAACAACAAACTATCAGAAAGAGAAATTAAGAAACAATCCCAGGGCTTCCCTGGTGACGCAGTGGTTGAGAGTCCGCCTGCCGATGCAGGGGACACGGGTTTGTGCCCCGGTCTGGGAGGATCCCACGTGCCGCGGAGTGGCTGGGCCCGTGAGCCATGGCCGCTGAGCCTGCGCGTCCGGAGTCTGTGCTCCGCAACGGGAGAGGCCACAGCAGTGAGAGGCCCGCATTCAGCGAAAAAAAAAAAAAACAATCCCACTTACCATCACATCAAAAAGAATAAAATACTTAGGGGGCTTCCCTGGTGGCGCAGTGGTTGAGGGTCCGCCTGCCGATGCGGAGGACGCGGGCTCGTGCCCCGGTCCGGGAGGATCCCGCGTGCCGCGGAGCGGCTGGGCCCGTGAGCCGTGGCCGCTGGGCCTGCACGTCCGGGGCCTGTGCTCCGCAATGGGAGGGGCCGCAGCGGTGAGAGGCCCGCGTACCGCCAAAAAAAAAAAAAAATACTTAGGAATACATCTAACTAAGGAGGTAAAAGACCTGTACTCTGAAAACTATAAGACCCTGATGAAAGATATTGAAGAAGACACGGATGAAAAGATATACTGTGCTCATGGATTTGAAGAATTTATATTGTTAAAAATGACCATACTACCCAAGGCAATCTACAGATTCAATGCAATACCTATCAAAATACCAATGACATTTTTTACAGAACTATAACAAATAATTCTAAAGTTTGTATGGTGACGCAAAAGTTGCAGAATAGCCAAAACAATCTTGAGAAAGAAGAACAAAGCTTGAGGTATTACACGCCCAGATTTCAAACTATACTACAAAGCTACAATAGTCAAAACAGCATGGTACAGTCACAAAAACACACATAGATACATGGAACAGAACAGAGAGGCCAGAAATGAACCCATGCTTATATGGTCAATTAATCTATGATAAAGGAGGTAAGAATATAGTGGGAAAAAGCTGTCTTTTTCCCTCTTCACCAAATGGTGTGGGAAATCTGGACAGCTACAGCAAAAGAATCAAACTGGACTACTTTCTTACACCATGCACAAAAATAAATTCAAAATGGATTAAAGACTTAAATATAAAACCTGAAACCATGAAACTTCTAGAAGAAAACATAGGCAGTATGCTTTTTGACATTGGTACTAATAATATTTTTTTTGGATATGTCTCAGGCAAGGGAAACAAAACCAAAAATAAACAAATGGGACTTTATCAAATTGCAAAGCTTTTGCACAGTGAAGGAAACTACCAACAAAATGAAAAGGCTGCCTACTGAATGGGAGAAGATATTTGCAAACAGTATATCCAATAAGGGCTTAATATCTACAATGTGCAAAGAACTGATAGAACTTCAACATCTAAAAAACAAACCAACTATAAAGTGGGCAGAGGAGCTGAATAGCTGTATTTCCAAAAAAAGACATACAGATGGCCAACAGGCACATGAAAAGATGCTCAACATCACTAATTGTCAGGGAAATGCAAATCAAAACCACAATGAGATATTACCTCACACTTGTCAGAATGGCTGTTTTCAAAAAAGGCAACAAATAACAAGTGTTGGTGAGGATGTGGAGAAAAGGGAACCCTCCTGCACTGTTGATGGGATTGTAAATTGGTGCAGCCACTATGGAAAACAATATTGAGATTACTCCAAAAGTTAAAAATAGAACTATTGTATTATCCAGCAATTCCACTCCTGGGTATTTATCCGAAGAAAACAAAAACAGTAATTAGAAAAGGTACATACACCCCTATGTTCATTGCAGCATTATTTACAACAGCTATGATATAGAAGCAACCTAAATGCCCATCAAGAGATAAATGGATAAAGAAGATGTGGCATACACACACACACACACACACACACACACACACACACACACACACACACGAATATTACTTAGCCATATAAAAGAACGAAATCTTGTCATTTGCAACAACATGGATGGATCTAGAGGCTATAATGCTAAGTGAAATAAGTCAGAGAAAGACAAACACTATGATTTCACTTATATGTAGAATCTAAAAAACAAAACAAATGAACAAACTTAACCAAACATTAACAGAGTTATAGATACAGAGAACAAATAGGTTGCCTGAGGGGAGAATGTTGTGGGTAGGAAAGAATAGGTGAAGGAGATTAAGAGTTACAGACTTCCAGTTGCAGTATAAATGAGTCACAGGTATGAAATGTGCTGTGTTGGGAATATAGTCTTAACTATGTAATATCTTTGAATTTTGACATATCATAACTAAACTTATTGTTGTGATTGTTTTGAAATGTGTAGAAATATCAAATCACTATGTTGTGTAACAGGAACTAACATAGTGTTATAGGTCAATTATACTTTAAAAACAAACTCATAGAAAGATAGATCAGAGAGGCGGAGTTGTGCGGAGGGGAATTGGATGAAGGCAGTCAAAAAGTACAAACTTCCAGTTATAAGATAAATAAATACTGGGGATATAGTGGACAACATGATAAATATAATTAATAATGCTTTATGTTATGTATGAAAATTGTTAAGAGAGTAAATCCTAAGAGTTCTCATCACAAGGGGGGGAAAGGTAAATAGGCTTAGCTGGCAGCCAAACTTTCAACTTAGCTGGTTTGTCTTTAGCTCCAGATGTGTATGTGAACCTCTAAACAAATCTGTGCCAGGATCCTTGACTATAAATGGAGATAATAAAAATGGCATCTTCGTCATAGAGTTTTTGCATGGATTAAATAATATCCCCTATTTGAAGCACTTAGCACAGTGAAGTGACTGGAATATTGTGTATTAAGCAGTCCACAATTGTTTGCTATAGATAATAATTTCAAAATATATATACTATCTTCAGTGTCTTACATTTCTAGATCCTATAAGAAGCCAATGAAAATAGGATGCATACTCTGATCCCAACAGATAACAAGAACAGATGCTCAGAAGCTGGGCCAGTCCCTACCTCATCATACCCAAGAAATGGGGAAAAATTTAAGAGTACCCTTTGCCTGTCCTGTTCCCCCTGCCCCCACTACAGTCTTTTCTCCTTTCTTCCTTGTCTGAGCACAGATTATATAACATCCTACTTCTGCCCCAGGAGTCTCAGATGTATATTTGATGTAATACGTTTAGCTTTATTTCATTTAAAATTAGGTGATCTTTTTATACTATAACAATTATATTTCATATGGTAGCAAGTTTTATGCTTGCCTATATTTTTGGTAACAATTTTTGGGTGAAGTGACATCTATCTTGTGCCAAAGATAAAGACAGTTTTATAGCATTCTTCAATGTCATTCCTCTTCTTTTTGTTTTTGTATTATAAATAATGTCTGGGTATCATGAGTTAAATCATATTCTTTTATAGAAGCATCACTCCGAGAATAAGGGCCTAGATAAAGTGATGGAGACTCAAGCCCAAGTGGATGAACTTAAAGGAATCATGGTCAGAAACATAGGTATGTTTCATGGCATACTCCGCATGCATGAGGGCAAAAATGATAATAGATTACTTGATTGGGGTCATCATTCTAGAGAGGCTGAAATAGCACTTCCTTATTCTTAATATTGGAAGCTAATTGTCAGCTGAGATATAGATATTACTTACCTATGATACTGCCTGCTGTATGATGGCTTCTTTTTAGCACTTATGACTATTCATTCTAAATTTGTTAGCTTGCTTAGCAAGACTAATTTCCAAGACCCTTAAACAGTTCAGCAACTTAGAATAATTTAGTCAGTTTTGACTGGAAATACCCAGATAGTTGATATCATCAGTATAGACACTTAAAGTATAAGTATTTAACCTCCTTAGAAAGTTTGTAGCTCTTGACTGAGAAAGAATTGGACCAAAAAACTGTTGTATTCTTCAAGAGAATGAACTATGGCATGAATTCCATTGGCCTGTGTTTTGTTAAGAACCTATTTACCACATTAAAATAATCCAGAGAAATGCACTGTTTATTTTTTAATTGATTATAACAGTGGTATTTAGATTTAGGATGATGTTAATTTTTTAATAGCACCAGTTCTCACGATATAGTCCCTGGGCCAGCAGCATCAGCATCCCCTGGGAACCTGTTACAAATGCAAATTTTCAGGCCCCACCCCAAGCCTACTGAATCAGAAACTCTTGGAGTGGGAAATCTGTGTTTTCACAAGCCCTCCAGAGGATTCCAGTGCACACTCAAGTTATAGAACCGCCCTTAAATATATTTTCTAAGAGGAATGTCTTGCAGAGAATAAATTCTTAATATAAAATTGAACAAAAATTAGTATATAAATGCTTTACAAGATATTTAACTGAGATGTCATTTCATAAATGTCCATTTAGTTATAATTTTGAATTTACTATTTGAATTTTACATTTATTATTAGAACTCTTAAAAGTTATGAAAAGACATTTAAAAAAATTTACTTTGTCTCACCATCCTAAAGTTTTATTTACATTTTCTTTCCTTTAACTTTTTACTTATATGTATACATAGTTAATCATAGTTTATATTCAGTCTTGTGGAGGCAGTATAATAGAGTAATCAAGATTTGGAGTCATACATGCCTGAGTTTGAGTCCTGATTTCACTTCCTACCTGCTGTTAAGCCTTGATCAGTCCTCTAACCTCTCTGACCTTTATGCCGTAATCTGCAAAAAGGAGGTAATAGAACCTGAGGTTACCAGGATGAAAGAGGTAATGTATGTAAAACACCGTGTACAGTCCCTGGCACATAGTAAGAGCTGAATGATTGTTAGCTGTTAGTCTACTTTATGCTCATACAGTATTTCTTTGAGTTATATCACAGGTTACAAATTATGTCCTTATGTCGGACACTTTGGGTCTTTAGAGCATTATTACTCAGAGTGCTGTTTTACAGCCAGATAAGGAGCTTGCTCCTGAATAGAAGTCAATGCTGTGCTTCCTTCATTGAGAACATCTTGCTATGAAAATGTCAATTTGACTGAACAGTATACTTGGAGACTTAGTTGAGCAGTAGCAAACACTCTTAGGTAGCACTGATTTAGAGTTTGTGTTACAGTAACAGTACTGTTATAAATGTTTCTGTGCCTATTATATTCTTCTTATTTTGTTGAGATCAGTTCCCAGGAATGGGATTAATAATCAAAAGGCAGAAACATTTTTATATTTCATTTTTTTTCTTTTTTTTTTTTTTTTTTTGTGGTACGTGGGCCTCTCACTGTTGTGGCCTCTCCCGTTGTGGAGCACAGGCTCCGGACGCACAGGCTCAGCGGCCATGGCTCACGGGCCTAGCCGCTCC